CGAGATAGTCCACACCTCTTTGGACAAACCTTGACCTTTGACCTCCAATCTTTTCACCCTCAGTGTCCCTAACCTCCTCTTGCAATATGTTGATTCTCCTTGGCAAATCTCTTTACTAACCTGCAGGAAGATAGCACCCCACCACAGCCTTTAAGGCTACAGTGGCCCTCAGGGACTCCTTCCTTGGGCAGATTCCTAAAGTCCTGGTCCTCTCACCTTTAAGACTCGGCCGTTAGAGAGACGTTTACCCTCTCCTTCCACTCTCTTGTCCTGCCTCTCCCCTCTTTCCGGCCCTGGGAGTATCCGGCCTCTCCAGGAGGGGTCCCAAAAAGCCTTGGCCAAGGTCTCCCATGGCTCCAGCTCCATCCAGGATGAAAGCTTCGACTGTCAGGATTCGGTGATGACCAATCTCTGCAGCTTGAACCTGCCACTTAGGCACTCCTGATTTTTTGGCTCTAGCAGGGACGCCCCTTTTGCCAATAAATCAGTTTCCTCCTTCTCTGCGTCCTCTTCCCTCCTCTTTACATGGGTAATGCATCCTCTCTGCCAGTCAGCTCTCCCCTAAAATGCCTCTTGGATCAAATATAGCACCCAGGCCTGGCCCACTTATCCCTTAGACAACCAAAGTAGATGGCCCCTTTTTGGGTCCCTGGATCCCTCCAAGGGATCTCTACAATTACTGTGAGCATTCAAAAAAAATGGGTAGAGATCACTTATGTCTGGGCTTTCTTCTTGCTCCAATCCAATCCTGATCTGTGCATCTCTTGCAAACCTCTACAAATTCTTCTAGCCCGTCCAAAGGGCGCTCAGCAGATGACACAGTTCTCCTACTTTCTTGGCCTTAAAGGGATATCAGGCCTCTTCACAAAAGGCCCAAATAGCATGTTAAGGGGTCACATATCTCTCAAGGGAAAAAGGCCATTACAGTAGACAGAAAACAGCTTATTGGGTCTATACCTACACCAAAGACCAAAGATGACATACTCTCCTTCTTGGGTTTGGCTGGGTACTTCAGGGCCTGGATTCTCCCTCCTTGCCAGGCCGCTGTATAATCTGGCCAAGGTCCCCCAAGATGAACCCCTACCCTCAGTGGTAGGGAAGCCCTTTAAAAAGGCCTTCCTCCGGGCACCCGCCCTGCATCTCCCTGACCTCTCCCGACCCTTCACCCTCTATGAATATGAGAAACAGGGACAAAGTCTGGGCATTCTGGGTCAGGAATATGGCTCCACATTTGCACCAGTGGCCTACCTATCCAACCTCACCGTCAGGGCTGGCCCCCATGCCTCAGAGCCCTAGCAGCAGCCCATGACCTCCAGAAAGAAGCACACAAGCTTACCTTTGGATCCCTGATAACCATCTTATCTCCTCACCATCTAAAGGATTTCCTCACTTACAAGGGGCTACAGTCACTTCCTCCTTCCAGGGTTCTATCCCTCCTTGTCTCTCCTTAAAAATCCCTCCATCTCTTTTCAGCCCTGCTCTCCATTAAACCCTGCCTCCCTCCTCCCATCTTCTCCCTCACAAGATCCCATCCACAAATGCCGGGAGGTACGATTTTACCCTGCCCTACCACCATTCTGAGGGACCCTGTCCTCTTCAGACTTCGTCTGGTTCTCAGATGGTAGCTCCTTTATACACGAAGGGGTTAAAGTGGCGGGGTATGCTGTCATTTCCATCTCATCCATCATGGAGGCAAAACCTTTCCCACCCAATACCACCAACCAACAAGCTGAACTCATAGCTGCCACAAGGGCATGTGAGCTAGCGGAGGGAAAAACCCTCTCCCTATATAATACGTCTTCAATATCCTGATCTCCCATGAAGCCATTTGGAAAGAAAGGGAGTATTGACCACCAGAGGGATGGCAGTCATTAATTCCACATTTTTTTTCTGGTATACTACAAGCCTCCAGGCTGCCTTCCCAACTGGGAATAATCCATTGCAAGGCCCACCAAACTGACTCCTCCCTTACTACTATGGGGAATTCCAAGGCCAATCAAGCGGCTCCATCAGCCGCCCTCCAGAGCTTTACCTCCTCTCCGCTACTCTTCGTTACCACCAGGGATCAGCCCAAAGATCACCAACAACTCTTCCAGTTTCTTCACTGTCTATTCCATTCTAGTCCACAGAGTTTCACTACTTTCCTTCACTCCTTTTTCACCCTTTCCCCACGTGATAAAACCCTCCTACAACAGATCACTTCCACTTGTCAGATCTGCCAGAGAACCAATAAAACCTAAACTTTCCCCTTCTCATCAGGTCCACGGTCATATACTTTTTTGGGATGGGTTGAAGCTTTTCCCACTTCTAACAAACTGGCCTCTAAGGTAATTGATCTATTGCTTACTCACCTAATCCCCCTTTTCAGGACGCCCACTTCTATCCAATCAGACAATGGCCCAGAATTCACCTCGAAGATAACTCAGGGACTGACTCATGCGATATCACTCCCTTGGCATTTCCATTGCCCTTGCCACCCCCAGGCTTCTGTGGAGGTTGAAAGGACCAATCAGTCCCATAAAGAGACCCTCACCAAGCTCACCATGGAATGAAGCCTGGACTGGGTAAAGGTGCTCCCCTTGGCTTTATTGCACATTAGGACCTTGCCGAAGAAGCCTTCTAATCTCTCACCGTTCGAAGTCATGTATGGCTGTCCCTTTGTTCCTCCCGGATTGCCTACAGATGCCCTGCCCTTCCTCTTCCATCTACGCTCTGAACTCTGGCGCTATCAAGACTGGCTCCTTCCTGACCCCAGTCTCTTTCAAAACCCTACCTCCTTAACACCTGGTCAACTTTTTTACTATTGCCCACCTGGGTAAAAGCCCCCTCTAAAACCAAGATGGGAGGGTCCTGCTCAGGTGATTATGTGCACTCCCTTGGTGGCCAAACTCAAGCTGTCTAATAACCAACTTACCCCATGGATTCATATTTCCAGGCTTAAGCCTGGCACTCCTACCCCTTCATCAGGAGAGCCAAGATTATCACCTGTCATTAAGTACTCTTGTCAATGCCCCCCCTCATTTCTGGCCCCTCTTTGGTCCTCTCTTCACTCTATATCTGGAGATTCAAAGCAAGTGACCCTAAGGGCCCCCTCCAGCCAGACCCCCTTCTCCTCCTTACAGACCCCCTACTTGCTTGGATCTGGCTGGTAGTGGGACCATTGTGTGTTGTCCTTCTAACAAACAACTTAGGTGTCTGGAGCATGATGACCCCTGAATAAGTGTGATCATAAGAGAGCACTTTATCAGTTGCCTTCTGGGCCTAAGGAGGAACATGTGTATTTTGTTTACCCTCCCAGTTTCGTAAGAATTTCAAATGTCAGTATTTAAGGTTGAGGTGTTTCACATAAAACCTGGAGAGATCTGACTGCTCTCAAAGGGAAATCTGGTAACAATGGGCCATCATCCTCCCATGGCCGCCTTAGTTCAGAGTGTGGGAGAAGCTGCCTTCTTTATTTCAAAGCCCATACTTTCTTGGATGTGACTAGGGAAAGCTGGGATATTTCAAGAAAGGTAAAGAGAGAAGCAAGCTCGTTTCAGAGACACCCAGGTAGGAGAGAGTTTGAAGAGCAGCCTTAATAGAGAGGGGAGGGAGCTAGATTGGACTAGGAATGAAGAGTGGAATTGAGGGTGTTAGGGGAAGAACAGGCTGGTGTGCAGGGCATGCCAAACAAAATTAGCTGCAGGATGACCTGGCTTCTCAAACCCTCTGTCTTCCCCTGAGAAGAGCCATCCAATGGTGAGCCCTGCTGGCTCACATGATCCTTACCCACCAATCAGACTAGCCCTGCTAGCTGACATGATCTTACCCACCAATCAGAAAGCACCCCATGCCAACTGTCAAACTGTTCAACCTTTAAACTGACATAACTGTCAAACCACCCCCGGCTCTATAAATATGCAGAGCTGTTCCTCAATAAACGGGCGTTTTCTCCAGCTACAACGAATCTTGTTCTATCTTTCACAATCCCATGTTAATGTCGGCACTGGGGTCAATTGGTGGTCAGAAGTTACCTTAGTGCACCTGCACTACAAAAGGAATCTTCCTCCCTAGATAAATGGAGGTACTTTTAGGAGATACTTTTAGCCATAATTCATAGCTTCAGGTCTACATCAATGGACCCTGTCAAGAGTTAGTCTCATTAATCCTTTTCTCTTGACATATTTCTTGATTAGCTCCTTTTGCTTCTGTTTTTTTTCCTACAAATTATCACATTTTGCTTTCTTCTTTACTTTTGAAATAGTTTAAAGAAGACACTATCATACGTTAAAGAACACCTGTGACCTCGCCTGCATTTTACTTCTCATTGCCAGCTACAACCTAACAAAAGAAAAAAAAAAGATTTAACTTCCTAAATTCCATATTTGCTACACCAGACTTACATTAAACATACCCAACATAAAACTTAAAGACAAAACAATATAATATGAAGACACAAAAAAATGTATATAGGAAAAACAAAATCTTAAGGGCTATTTAATATCTTTAGATAGAGAAAGATTATTTATATAAATTAATAAGAGTTGTTAAAATTCTAAAATTAAAACCCACTAAACTGAAAATGGATACTGATAACCCAGAAAATCATATTTTAAAAGAACAAGATTCCCCCTCCCCATAAGAAAAAGGAAAAAAAAAAACATATCCAGCAAATTTTCAACTTCAAATGTGCTGCATTTTCTGCTTTCACTAAACTCTAGGATGCCTCAGGTTAGGGACCTTGTTTATTTTATGCCTTCTTTTAGTGACACATGGTAGATGCTCACTCTATTCATATTGGTTGAATATATGAATATATGTTCATAAGGAAACTTCCAATCCCTCCGTGAACTAAATTTGAGTTTAGTTGAGGAGAAAAAGTTCAAACTCTTCCTATCAGACCAAGGTGTGTGTCCACACACACGCTTCCCTCAATGTGAGCCCTTTAGCTTCACACATGCCCTGTGTCCCCAGACACACAGACAAGTGCATGTTCAACTGTGACTATAACTGTTTTTCAGTTGGTGAAGAAATATGGGAATGTTCTTAGCCTGGATTTTGGTAACCTGTCTTCAGTGCTCATAACTGGACTGCCCTTAATCAAAGAAGTTCTTTCTCAGACAGACCAGTCCTTCGTGCACCGCCCTGTAACCCCTCTCCGAGAACGTATCTTTAGGAAAAATGGTAAGTTTGTTGATGACTGTAAGGTGTGCATTTGAAATACTATGGTCTCTTCACCATGCCTCTATGCCTATAATTTTCTGACACTCCCAGAAGTTAACCTCATTATGAAATGCCTGCCCTTACAAGAAGCCAAATGCCCACATTTTCTGGTTGAAAACATCTCCTTTTAAAGATTTGTCTTGATGGGTCCTGATAGAGATTTTGGAGAAACCACATGTTCTGCACAAACTCTGGATACTTTGATAATGAAGTAACCATATCATCTAATTATAGCAGAGGAGGAGGCAGTGTGTGAAAAAGCTTCAGACCTAATCTTGAAAGAACTCTGCCATTTCAAGATTTGATAGAAGATGAAACAGAAAAAGATATAAGAAGTTTCTTGAAGGGTATTAAGAAGAAAATATGGAAGTGTATACCCTGGACTCCACCAGAAATGAGTGTGCAATTAAATAAGCATCTCATGCTGCTAAAAGATCAAGTGAAATGAGGTTGAAAGATAGTCCTGGACTGACGGCAAGGATGGACATTTCATTAGGTTGGTGAAGCTGTGATGGCAAAACCAGACCTGGTTGTGAAATGAATTATAAAAATGTTATGGTAAGAGGGGCTGAGGCTCTGGCTCAGAATGTGTGAGGTACTGGGTTCAATTCTCAGCACTACATATAAGTAAATGAATAAAATAAAGGTCTACACATCTAAAATATATTTTTAAAAATGTTATGGTAAGACACCTATGCCTGGGGAAGGGTCAGTTGCCCTCCCCTCTCTCAGCCTTTCTCTTGGAAGCCTAATTAACCATGGGTTGATTAACCTTTTGAATTGTAAATACCTGCACTAGGGATCTGACTACTCCCTCTCAAAAGAGCCCTTTCTTCCTACCTGTTTCTGTGAGCATGTTAGAGACCCTGCACAGGGCCTTTAGCAGAGTAGATTAGGAAAAATTTTAAGAGAAAAAAGCCCCAATGATAGGATAGGTCTAAGCTGACATGAAGTCATGAATAAATGTTGTGAGAAACTGTGGATCAGGGCTCAGAGTTTTGTTTTCCTCTGGGCGCACCAGCATAAATTAGAGTTTGGAGTTCTCCTCTCTGAGTATTGCTTGCTGCTTCTCCCCCAGTCTTGTTTCCCACAGCAGAGCCAAAGCCAGGTATCACAAGAAGTTGAGGAGTAGCCATGGAGAAGTGGAAGGTCACATGGCATTGCCTATATAGTGAAATGGATGGTGGTCTTTTGCACACAACAGGATGTTTTCCCCCTTCTCCTATGCTGTTCTTTCTGTGTGGAATACTCACTGGTCTCTTGCTTTGTTGAGTGATTCCTTCATCTTTTAAGGTCACACTTAGGACCTCTCCTATAAAGCCTTTCTTTGCCTTCTAACAATTATGGACTTTGACTTATCTCTGAGTGCATTCTTGGTGCTTAGCTTGCCATAACTACTGAACTGTACTTATGTGGCTACTGATTAAAGCATGAGTTTTAGAATAAGGGAGACTTGAATTTGAATACCTGGTTAACTGATTACTATATGACCTTGCAAAATTTACTTTATCCCTTATTCCCATTCAGTAAAATTCAGGGGAGGGCAGAGGAGGGAGGGCAATAAGTGTATCTATCCCATGGAGCTTCTATGAGTGTTAAATTACGTAATACATAAAAACACTGAAGAACCTGATGTTGTAAGTAATCAATAAATGTTAGCCATTGTGTTCATTGCTTTAGGTCTTATTTCTTTGAATAATATTCAGGTGCCTTAATGTCCTTCCTCCTTTCCATCTGATACACATTTCCATACAATTTGCCAGATATTTGCATAGTAGAATCAGAATACCATAATATTGGCTTTTCCCCCCTAGGATTGATCATGTCTAATGGCCAAATATGGAAGGAACAAAGAAGATTCACCCTGACAACATTAAAGAACTTTGGTTTAGGAAGGAAGAGCCTGGAGGAACGCATCCAGGAGGAGGCCTACCACCTTGTTGAGGCAATCAAAGAGGAGAATGGTGAGCATTTCACAAGAGCATTTACAGGAGCCTGTGGCCTATGCATTCACTGGATAGATACTTTTTAAGTGCCTAAGTGCTTGCCTTATGACCAGCACTGTCCTAGGCTCTGAGGATACAGTAGGAAACAAATACCATGACACTTCTCTCAAGGAGTGCTAGAATTCAGTGCGCAAAGACAAACATTAAACATATTATGATATTTAAGTCCTGGTTATCAGTTCAACCTCCCTGGCATTGACTGTATCCTTGCTGTATCACAGAGCCCATATAGGGGGCTGTGGCCAGCACCTCCTCTAGGATTCTCTAGTAGGTATATCTGTGTCAGCTAGAATAGACTCCTGTAGAAAACAGGAAGAAACCAATGATTTTGAAGAACTCTCTACCTTTCTCTACCTCCAGGACAGCCTTTCAACCCTCACTTCAAGATCAACAATGCAGTTTCAAACATCATTTGCTCCATCACCTTTGGGGAGCGCTTTGAGTACCAGGATGCTCAGTTCCAGGAGCTGCTGAAGTTACTGGATGAGGTCACGTTTCTGGAGGCTTCGAGATTCTGTCAAGTAAGCAGTCATCTTCTATATGCTGGTTAAGGCCATTGGGGCTGATCTCATATACACATAGATTCTTCTTCTTCTTTTTTAATTGAAATGTAATATTTTAAAATTAATTTAACAAAAACTTATTTGAAATCATCTTTTTGACTTTAGTGTTTTTAATAATGTTGAAAATTTACTAAATGCAAGAAACATTTCTAAGATTCCTGTAGAGTTCAAAATTATGCAAGACATACACTTATACACCTATGTTGTTCTTTTTCAAAAGAACACATTGCCATTGCCCTTGCCTTTGAATGTCTCCTCTACATGTTACTTCCCAAATATCCATTTCCTTCCTGCCTCAAGCACCCTCTGAATGCAGTTTCTCTCCTGGTGTGTTGTTTTAAGATTCGCCTGATTTGGTTGCTTTTCTTCTTCTTCTTTTGTTTTTTAATGCAGACTAGCTTTGCCTTGTATTGAATGTGCCCCTGTTTGTTAATCTATTTGCTAATTTTGAACAAATTTGAGCCTTTTCCAGCTTTCATATTATGAATAGAGCTGCAACCAATATTCTTTTACTAGTGTTCATGTGGACACACTCACTCATTTGTCTTGCATATGTATCTGGGCATAAAAGATAACTAAAGATTTCACACTATTTACATAACCATCAGCACATGTGTGTGTATATATATATATATATATATATATATATATATATATAGTATATACTATATTATACTTCTCTAGGCCCTTATATTTTAGATGTTTTCTTTTTAAACAGCATAAAAATGAATATAAATTTTGTACCCAATTCGACAATATTTTTCTTTTTATTGATGCATTTAGTTTCTTTTTTCAAATTTATTGTCAAATGAAAACTAATTCATGATCACTTTATGGCTTTTATATTTCTTCTGTTTGGACTCATTATTATTAAATATATTTTAATTTTTCCTATATTCATTTAGAAGATTAAGATTTTTTTCTATTTCTTTAGTCTTTACCTTAAAATTTTTATTATTATTATATTAGTCATTACCCTAAAATTTTTAATATGCACAATTAACTGCCTGCATCTGAGATTAATACCTTTGTGCTCTGCTGAAATAATACATGATCTTCAGAACACACCTCTTGTCACTCCTTTAGGTTACTGTCATCACGTATTTTAGTTTGATCTTTTTTTAACTGGAGAGTACATGATCAATATTGTTTCATGCAATGTCTGCTTATATTTACCTATATATTTATCAGTTTCTATTTTTATCATCCTATTTTGGATGTTAAAGCCCCTTCCTGAATTTCATTTAGTGGAGATCAATTGATGGTAAATTCTTTTGGATTCAAAAAGATCTTTACACTGTGATTTCTTCTATCTTGGTCTTGAGATTTCTATCAAGAGAATGACCATGAGCCAAGACAACCCTTTCCTAGGAGAGCCCTGACCAGCAGGAGAGTTAGGTTTAGGGCTAATCAGGTAAGACAAAGTATAGCAAGCTCATGAAATAACTGAAGCAACGTACTACTCCTAAATCCTGAGAGTGAGAGGGCAAACAAAGACAGATGGGAGAACTGGGAATGGGAGGGTCTCAACCAGTGGGTGGAGAGAGAGAGAAGCAGAGAGACAGAACCTGTGATACCAAGCCTTCATTAAAGGCCTTGGTGGTCTCTCAGGCTTTCCCTGGGGGTGATCAATTGCTAGCTTAAAGAAAACACTCTTGGGCTTAAGAAGGAAACATATTTAAATGACTCCACTATTAACCATTATGTTTATTTCATGGTCAGCAGCTATGGGATGTGTTGCCATGGGGACAGTTATATGAAGAATAAGCAAACTGCAATATTATCACAAAGGAAGGAGAAGTTTAACTAGGTCAAAGGCTATGGTACAATGAGGTTTTAAGTGACTCAGGTCAAATTGAATGGGTGCTAAGGCAGCAAGTGTATTAAACAAACTTATGATACTTTATTTTGCTTAAATTAAATATTTAAAGATCTTTGACTCTTTTCTCTGTATATACTCAAAATATTCTTTCAGCATCCGCTAGGTTTGCACTGGTGCCAGGGAGAGTTAGCTAGAAATGTGATTGCTATTTCTTCAAAACTACTTTTTCCTTTTTTCTGGAAGCATTTTATATGGATGCATTAATCCTCTGTGGTTGGACTGTCCAGTGGAAAGTGGCAGGGAGGGTTAGAAAGGAGGTGGTGAGGTTGCAGGGACCAACTCTGTAGGGCTTATAGGCCAGAGAAATTATGCCAGACTTTATCAAGGATAGTGGAAAGCCATTGGAGGATTGAAAGGTAAGGAATCAAACTGTTAAATGATACCCCAGCAGCTCTGTGGAAAATAGGCTGGGAACAGGGTAAAGAGTGGAATAAGGAAATTGCTGAAAGCTATGGCAACATTTGGGTAGGAGACAGTGGTGGTTTCTTGTGGGAGGACTGGTGAGAATTGTGTGGAGGGTTGAATGCCTGCCAGAGTGAATAGAGAGAAAGGAAAAGTCCAGGATGACTCCTCAGCTTAAGCATAAGCAAATAAAAGAGATGGAAAGAGAAGACTGTCCCCAAAAGTGCAAAAGTGGCCCCATGCTGTCTCCATGATCATTCTGTTTTTTGCCATTAGCTCTATAATGTCTTTCCATGGATAATGAAATTCCTCCCTGGACCTCATCAAACTGTCTTCAGCAACTGGGAAAAGCTGAAATTGTTTGTTTCTCATGAAGTTGAAAAACACAGGAAAGACTGGAATCCTGATGAGTCAAGAGACTTTATTGATGCTTACCTCAAGGAAATTGTGAAGGTGAGGAAAATGAATTTGTCTCCTCTGATTTTTTTTTCTTATAGAACAAATAGCTGTATATTAGTTTCCAATAGCAGCTGTAACAAGTTACCACAAATTCAGTGGCTTAAGATGGTACATATGTGTTGTTTGTTCTCTTACTGTTCTGAATGACAAAAGTCCAGTTCTGAATGACAGAAGTCAAACTGCAGTTTCACTGGGCTAAAGTCAAGGTGTTGGCCAGCTTAGATCCTATGAAGTCTCTTAAGAATTGGTTTCCATGGCTTGCCCAGCTTCCAGAGGCTTTGGATTGTGGTTCCTTCCTCCATCATTAGCACCAGGGTAGCATCATCTCTCCTCTCTTGTCACCCTGCTTCCATCTTTACACTTTGTCTCTCTGACTTTAATCTTCTTCCCTCCATCTTGTAAGGATAATACAGGACAATATTCCTAACTCAAAACCCTTAGGTTTAATCACATCTGCAAAGTCCCTTTTGCTATATGTTGTCATCTTTTGGGATCATGGTTCAATCATGGTTCAATTTTATATGGATGCCTTAATCCTTGATTAATCCTGGGGTATCATTTAATCTTAAACTTATTCCACTCTTAACCTATTCCCAGCCTATGATATGATAAATGTGCAATTCAGTTTATACTTTCTGGTATCGGCACAAATATTCATTGAGTATTTGCTATATCCTTTTTGCATGTCACATAAATTATAATGCCATCTTAAGGCATGCTTCTTACCCCCATTTGATAAAGCAGGAAATGGAAGTACAGAGATGTTAAATAACTTATCCTAGGTCATATAGCTACGTTGATCTAATGAATGATGGGGTTGATATTGGAAGCCAAGTCTGTCTCATTCATAGCCCATTCTCTTTCCACTGTACTAATAGCTTCTCTGGAATTACAGGCATAAAAAAAGTGGTTGTTTTGTTTTTTATCCAATACCATCTAAAAAGTTTCCAGCACTTCCATTTACCTACCCCTTCTCTCAGGCCCCATTGCAGACAAAGTTAATGATATTGCTGCCTTCTGAAGAGAGACTTTCCCCTTAGGAGAAAGTCATTTCTTCTGAGGACATTTCCTTCCAAGTTCTTTCCTTTGAATGAAACCCCAGTGTTTTTTGGCAACCACAAGTCCTCTGAATAAACCAACAAATAACTGTCTTCTAGTACACAGACAAGAATGCTTCAAGTTTCAATGAAGAGAACCTCATCTGCAGCACCCTGGACCTCTTCTTTGCTGGAACTGAGACAACTTCTACAACGCTGCGCTGGGGTCTGCTTTACATGGCCCTCTATCCAGAAGTCCAAGGTGAGAGTGGCAGCGAATGTGCCTGGCCCAGGGTTAGGGTTAGGATTAGGAGAAGCTGGCTGGGTGAGCAGGGAAAATGGCTCAGGATTAGGAGAAGCTGGCTGGGTGAGCAGGGAAAGATAGAAATTGTTGAGAGGTGGTGCAGTCTTGAGCATGCACACATTCGTCGCTTTTTAGAGAGGAATATGAGGAGTCCAGGTAGGATAAGTGTTAAACTCCATGTGTGCATGAAGCTCTAGGTCTAGGGGAAAACAATGAGGCCAATTGACTTTGTAATGGGGTCCAGCAAAGAGTTACAATCTCATATGAGTATTTATTCTTCCATTCTTTTCAGCAATCCCTTCCTCTTTCCCCCAGATAATGCCCAGACACATTTTTGGTACTGTTTTCTTTTTCTTTTTCTTTTTTCCAGTGTTGAGCTTCAAAACCAGGGCCACATGCATGCAAGGCAAGGTGTCTGCCACCCCACAAAGCCACATCCCCAGCCTGTCTAGACTCGTTAGTCTGGTAATAATGCCCTCTGATGTGCCATTTTCTGCCTGTCGTGCCTCAGCAGCACCCATCCTGCATTGGTGGTTTCACTGAATTCGGTGTCATTTTCTTGACACTGTCCTAAGTGTCTGAATCACAATATCTGGTCTTCCCTCTGTCAAGAACATGCTTTCTGAATTTCTCCACATGCTGAATCCCCAACTCTTCTAAAAGAATTCTTCCAATACTACTACCTAAGATGTTTCTTCATTCCTGGTCATCTCTAGAGATGAGCCGGGCACCTCTATTGCCATGCCTAGAGCACATTATATATATAGATTCCCCCAAAGACTGTCATTCCTTCAAGGACAATGGCTATTCCCAACATTTTTATTTCTCCAGGTTCTAGAACAGTTTGGGCAGGTGGAGGGTGGAAACAGTCATGGCATGTTTTCTAGAATTGTGGGTAACAATTTATTAATGAGGCATAAGAACAATTGAGTAGATCAAGGTCAATGCCCCCACTCCCCCAAAATAAAAATAGAGAAGACTGAAGTGCTTGCCATCTATTAAGGATATATTTGTTAATAAAACTTTACTTCTCTCACATAATAATTTACAAATGCACGCTTTATATATGTGTGTGTATGCGTGTGTATGTGTGTGTGTGTGTATATATATATTTATATATGTACATACATACATACATAGATACATATAGCCACACTTGGTCCCAGAAAAATCTAGGAAAAGTAGCTTTTAGCTGGACAGTGAGGTAGCCAGCTCAAATGTCTATGACTGTAGAAAATGAGGCAAATATATTTGAAGACAGCTGCAGTTTCCATGAGCTGAGCCATGCTGATCCTGATCCTGTTTAATGCTTACCTAAATGAGTTCATGTAATTCTCAAAACATCTTTCACATGAAAGTTGACTTAGCCTCACTAATCAGATGAAGAAATTGAGGCTCAAAGGATCTGAGTACGTTGCAGCAATAATTTTGTAGAGCAGGAGTCTGCTATTCACTATCTACTCCCATGCTACCCTTGAGAAGTGAGAGTCTTCGGATCTGCTAGGATCCAAATACTTGTGTCTTCCTCACCAAATCCCTGTGTGGAAACCTAATTATCAGAGTGGTGGTATTGGGAGGTGATGAGTCTTCATGATTGGCATTAGTGCCCCTATGAAACATTCCCAGCAAGCTGCCTTGCTCCTTGCAACATGTGAGGACACAGCAACTAGATGCCACCTCTGAACCAGAAAGTGGGTTCTCCCCAGGAACCACATATGCTGGTGCTTTGGTCTTAGGCAGCCCAGGCTTCCGATCTATGAGAAAAAAATTTCTGTGGTTTTTAAGCCACTCCATTTATGGCACTTTATCATAGAAGCCTGAATAAGAAAACACCCTACTATGAGCTTAGCCACATTGATCCTGGGCATTTCATTCCTGAGACTCAAGGAAAGTGACTGAGTTGACAATTCTCTGATTAAATCCATTGAAGGGTTAAGGAACATTTTATTTTTTTGCATCCTGGCCACTATTTGAAATGACATAGGTAAGATCTAATAGAACAATCCTACATCTTTAGAAGAAAGTATTAAAGTTTCAAAAATAATAGAATCTCCCTCTTCTCTTCCAGAAAAAGTGCATGCTGAGATTGACAGAGTGCTAGGCCAGTGGCAGCAGCCAAGCATGGATGCCAGAGAGTTCATGCCCTACACCAATGCTGTCATCCATGAGGTGCAGAGAATGGGCAACATCATCCCTCTGAATGTCCCCAGGGAAGTGGTGGTTGATACCACTTTGGCTGGATACTACCTGCCAAAGGTAAGGAAGCACACCCAGCCTCAGACTTCAAGCCTGTCTTTGAGACCATCACAGAACTTGCATTTGTATTTGAAAAGTCACATATATTCCTATCCCAAGCATCACCTAGATGGGGAGATACATTATACTTGATATAATACTAACTTTTTCTCCATGGATTTTACCAGACATAGGTAATATGGGGAATAGAAGATGAAACATTCCTAACTCAAATGTGTTTAAGCCAAGACTAGTTTGTTGGTGTGTGTGTTTGTTTTGTTTTGCTTGCTGTGGGACTTCTCAGTGTTCTCACTCTCTGATGTGCACTGTGGCTCATGGTGGCACACAGATGGCAGCAAAAGTCTCTGTCAGATTTTTGCCATAGAGCCCTGTTCTTTACCTTGGAGAGCATCTCTCAAAACTGGAGACCAGCCAGACTTTGGAAAATGTGGAAGGACATTTGAGATTACCTGGTCCCAAACCACATTAATGCTTATGTTTCTAATATCACGTCCCCACAGGTATTTTTACAGCTTTTACCTACAGCACCATGATGGGGAACTCTCCATTTCATAAAAGAAGCCACTCCAGTGTGTGCAATGTTCATAATTAGAACGGGAGAACAAGAAACGAATATTTACTCAGCCATGTAGCCTCTTTCAAAATATCTTAGTTCTCAGGACAACTATTATTCCCATCTTATAGATTGGGAAGTTGAGTCTCAGGGAAATTAAGCTTGCATGAGATCTCAACTACGAAGTGACAATAGCTGGATCTAGAACCAGAGCTGTTCTAATTATTTGTATGACGTGATGCTCCCTCCACAGGACTCTTTTGCTTTGACTTAAACAAAAACAAAAACAAAACCAAAAAACTCCTTTTAAGTTTTCCCTACTGGTCTCTGTTAAATCCCTTGGCGTCACTAACAGAATTCAGATCACACTCCACCCACCACTTTTAAGATCTCTGCAGAGGGTTCTCCTGGGTCCCCCAGGGTTCTTTCTCTATGATGCACACTTACAGTTCCTTCCTTGCTACTGGATCTATTCTAGTTTGTCCAAGTCCCTCCACACATGTTGTACTTGGGAACAATCTCCAGAGTTAGAATCAAAAGAGAATCCCAGTGACACCTTGGTGACTGTCACTGCAGAGCCAGGAAATGCAGCTTCTACAAGAACTATTTCTTCCTGATGAAACTTCTCATGGATGAAGGCTGAGGCCTGAGTTTCCCACCAGGTGCTGTTTGCATTTTTCTACCCATTCATTTAACTCCAGAGAATCAGCCAATCTCACAAGACTTCTTCTACCACTGGTTTTTCACATCAACTTTAATAATCCTCCTGGCCTCTGAGAAATATAATTGATTACATGCAATGGAGGCTAGGAGCCATGGCTTTGACATCAGATAGACCTAGTTCACGTGACTCTACCTTGCCCAACCACAACGTGGCTCTGAGCACATTATTTAACCACTCACAGCTGCAATTTCTTCATCTACAAAATTCATTTGAGCCCACCCTACAAGATCCGTGTGAAGTAAAATGGGATCCTACATGCTGAGCCTCTTACTCAAAGTAACAGTTATTTGGCAAATATTCATTAAGTATCTGAATCTTTAGATCTAGTAAAATAACCCTGAGCAAAATAGTCATGCTTACAAAATATACCAACCATGCTAACTGTCCCAAGGAAAATACTCACTGCCTCTGTAAAAATGCTTCCAGCATCTCCCAGGGGGAGTGAGGAACAGGTGCTGGAAGGAACTGGCAGGCTTGCCTCTGAAGGAAGTAATGCTGGAGCTGAGGATTAACGGATTGCTGGGAGTTGGTTAATGGCAAAGTGGGGGAAGAGAACATTTCCTGGCAAGGTGAGCAGTATTTAAAAAGTCATTGAAATGAATGGAAATTTGACCTGTGTTACAGGTCACTGTAGTGGGAGCTCAAGAAGAATAGGAGAAGCCCTGAGAGGTTAGGGAATGGATCTGTGACTAGGAGTGTGGGAAGCTATTGAATACCAAGTTTGAGGTCTGAGTGGGTGGGGGCTGTCATAGATTTAAGCCATATTCAAAGCACACTCTGCTTTCAGGGTGTGGAGCAAATTGAAAAGGGCAACAGAGGATGTGGGGCATAAGTAGGAAGTGATTACAAGAATCTGGATGAGCAAGAATTCAAATCACACTCCACCCACCACTTTTAAGATCTCTGCAGAGGTGGTGGTGGACAGTCCCTAATGGAGGTGAGGGAATCAGGGGGCATTTAAAGAAGTGTCAAGCATGACTGATGGGTTGGATGAGGTAGTGAGAGAAGGCTCACTCTAGTGACTCCAGGGTTTCTTGTCATATACCTCGATGGACAGGGATTCTTTTCCCTGGATATCTGCTTGTGCTACTCAAATAGCTTTTGGGACTGGGCACAGCTTTCTACACACTGGAGGGAAGAAAATGCAGAAGCAGAGTGAAAGATGCATTTTCTCCCCCTTTGTAGAGCTGCCCTCCTTATCACTTCACTGACTAGCTGGGTTGATTTAATTACTGTGCGGACCGTCCAGCTGTCACATAATTCTCTCATGGATGCTTACAGGCCCCTTCCCCAGACCTACACTGACTTGTTTCTGCAGAGGAGCTTTATTATGCACTCAAGAGTAGCCAAAATTCCAGGGTAAAATTCTCAGAAGACAATTCCAATTCATCCTTCTAAGTTGTCCCACTCAAAGAGAAGGGTCCTGGAAAGTTGAGCTCAGCAGGTGTTGGGTTGGGAGGTGTGGAAGCTCAGAATGTGCTCATTCCCCAGCATGGGGTGCTGAGAACCACCTACCTTTGCCTAGATGTGTGGTGTGGGTCAAGTCCTGCCTGACTCTTCACTGCCTTCTCTAGGGGACCATGATCCTGACCAATTTGACCGCTTTGCACAAGGACCCCAACGAGTGGGCCACCCCTGACACATTCAACCCTGAGCATTTTCTGGAGAATGGACAGTTTAAGAAAAGAGAATCCTTCATGCCTTTCTCAATGGGTGAGTTTGGATGAATAGGAGTCTGGGAGGGCAGTGTTCCTCCCTCAGCCCTTCCCTCCTCTCCTGTCTGTAATCCTTTGCTCTAGTTGGGGAGTCTCCAGAGGGTCCTGCCTAGGGTGACTCCATCTCACTATTGTTTGAAGTTCAACATCCTCTGGTCCAGGCCTTGCCGCAGTCTGGCTGGGCACAAATGCCGCAGTCTGGCTGGGCACACAATCACGAGCCACCACACAGCTTGTAGATTCAAACAGCAACTCTTTATTCCCTAACTCACACCAGCCGTCTACAATCACGTTCTGGGGAAATCCACGTTCTCTGCCCAAATCCACTCCCACTGGGCTTCTATCTCCCAAAAATATACTGTCTGAATCCTGTGAGAACTCAAGGGGAACTCAGGCAACAGGATACGCCCTATTCCCAGCAGGAATAATCTTAAACCTTAAACCTGGAACCTAAACTGGGAACGCCCTAAACCCGATTATCTTAAACCGGGAACACCCTAATCCTCCCTGGTCCTTGAGCAAGGTCACCTACATTCAATGTCACTGCAACATGGGGTACGCTGGCAAGGAAATTGTCATACATACTTGGCTAATGGCTCCCAGCATCTCCCCCCTTTTGATTAATTAAACAACAAGCAATGTGGCTTAAGGACCGTGCCTGGTAGGTTGTCCAATTCAACATATGGTTCTTACCCGTCATCGGAAAACTGACCTTTAGGCGTCAGCCTCCTGTCTTAGGTTGATACCACTGCAATTGGATCATACCCGTCACTGACTACAGGTCCAGCATACAGCCATACTTGTGGATAGGTCTATGCACCAGTGGGTGGGTGAGGTTCTTTGCCTCACCTCTGTTGGCCCCCAAATTTGGCCTTGGTGCCAGTGGGGGAGTGAGGTTAATGTGGCTTAAGGACCGTGCCTGGTAGGTTGTCCAATTCAACATATGGTTCTTACCTGTCATCAGAAAACTGACCTTTAGGCGTCAGCCTCCTGTCTTAGGTTGATACCACTACAATTGGATCATACCCGTCACTGACTACCGGTCCAGCATAAGCCATTGGCCCCCAATTTTAGACCATCACTAGCAGAAGGGAGGAGGATACAGAAATGCCACGACACCAAGCCAATTGACGGCTCCTTGGGAAAAATTGCATCACTGGTGACACCATGAGCAAAGATATGTCAGCACTACCACAATTAACATGGGGTGTGTTGGCAAGGAAATAAAAATTGCATCACTAGTGACACCATCAGCAAAGATATGCCAGCATTACCACAATTTGCTGCACCAAACGATAGTTACATAGTCCAGGCAAGTTCTGCAAGCAGTTCAAAGCGGAGGAATCTATCAATATGTCCATTTCCTCCCAAAATCCGTTTCCTCCCAAAGTAAGTTGACTCCTTGATTGAGCATTACTTGTTGAGTTAAATTCATTGATGCATCAGTTTATACAGTTTACTGTGATAGCTATCATAGAAGCTGTAGTCTGGTTTTATCTTTGTCTTCACCGGCACTGGGATGAAGATAGGAATTCTGGCAATGATGCTAAAAAGACATTATCCTGAAAAGAATTATTAAATATAATGAAAAGGAAAGGTGAAAGTAAACAAACAGATCTGTTAACCTACTTTAAAAACAATCCTTAACAGCTGTTTACCTAATTTAAATTAAACCATTTAAATCATGTGAATAAAAAAATAATAATAATTCGGATCCATTTTTTCATGAGCGCTCCTCATATAAGAAATATGGACATACGCACATACAGACATACAACACAAAACTCAAGAGTGTACACAAACGTACAACACATAAGAAAATAGTAAAGGCCTTGTAGCTTTACCTAGGTGAAATCTCCATTGCAATGTTTAAAAACTCCACAGTCAAAAAATAAAACTGATCAGAAAAACATTAACCTAGGTTTGTATGAGCTCAAAAAATAAAAATAGAACCTTATGATGTAGAAAAATGCAATAATAAAATAGCTATTGAAAAAAGCATCCTGGTTAATCACTGTCGCAGATGTAAGAATGGCCAAGCTGGAGTTCTGGATATCAGCTGTTATGGATTTGAGTCAAATCATCTTCTTTTTGATCTGTAGAAATTGTTTTAGTTAATCTCTCTGGAATCCAAATCGGCTGCTGTTCTCCCTGTGGAAAAACACAAACAGACCCCAGACTCCAGACAATCACTGGGTCAGGACCTTTCCATTGTCCTGTTAGAATATCTTTCCAAAGTACTTTAGGCTTATGTACATTTTTTGGATACATATGCCTTTCCGCAGCACTAAGTCCTGAAGAATCCAAATTTAAAAAGTTTAGAGTAAAAAGCGTTATTTTAAGTTTATCTTTAGGGGATATATACCCCCTTCCAATTCCCTCTTTTTGCTTTAATAAGTATGTTTTAATAGTTTGATGAGCTCTTTCAACTATGCCTTGTCCCTGTGGATTGTATGGGATCCCTGTTATATGAGTAATACCAAATGATGAGCAAAATTGTTTAAAAGAGGTAGAGGTATAGCCAGGACCATTATCGGTTTTTAACTGTTTAGGAACGCCCACAGTGGCAAAATTTTGTAAGCAATGAGCTATAACATCTTTAGTTTTTTCTCTGGCATGAAGGGAGCCCATAAAAAATCCAGAGGAAGTATCAACTGTAATGTGTAAATATTTTAATTTTCCAAATTCTGGCAAGTGTGTGACATCCATCTGCCAAATATGGTTAGGTATCAGTCCTCTAGGATTGACTCCAAGATTAACTTGTGGTAAAAATGTCACACAATTTTGACATTGTTTTATTATATGTCTGGCTTGTTCCTTAGTTATTTTAAAATGCTTTTGTAAAGTATTAGCATTAACATGAAACCTTTTATGAAAATTTGTAGCTTCTTCAAATGTAGAGAAAATATGTATGTCATGTGTAGTTTTATCTGCTAAATCATTGCCTAAACTAAGGGCTCCAGGCAATCCTGTATGTGCCCTAATATGTCCTATAAAGAATGGATCTTTTCTGTCCCAGATTAGACTTTGTATAGTGGAAAACAAAGAGAACACAGTAGAAGAAGGGGAAATCCTACCAGCATCTTCAAGAGATACTATAGCATTAACTACATACTGGCTATCAGAAAATAAATTAAATACAGAATCTTTAAACATCAAAAAAGCTTGTAAAACTGCATTAAGCTCTACCTTTTGAGCTGATTGTTTGGGTACTAAAAATGTAAAAGTTTGATCTGGGGTAACTACTGCTGCTGTACCATTATTAGACCCATCAGTGAATATATTTGGAGCATTCATGATAGGTGTTTTTCTTGTCATTTTAGGAAAAACTACAGGATGTTTAGACCAAAAAGACAACAAAGGATTAGATGGTAAATGATTATCAAATGTAACATTAGATTTACACATGATTATTGCCCAAGTATTTAACTCATTAGCTAACTCATCAATTTGATCCATAGTATATGGAGTAATAATTTTATTGGGAGAAATTCCAAACACTCCCTTTGCTGCTTTTATTCCTTTGAGTATTAATTGTCCTACAGCCTCAGGATACCTAGTAAGAATAGTGTTAGGAGAATAAGATAAATGTATCCACAATAATGGACCTTCTTGCCAAAATACTCCTGTAGGAATATTTTTTGTTGGTAGTACAATAAATAATAAAGGCAAACTTATATCAATTCTATCCAAATGTATATTTTCCATATATGTTTCAATAATTTTTAATGCCTTTCTTGCTTTAGGAGTTAACATGCGGGGTGAATTTGGATCTGATGGACCTTTTAGAATATCAAATAAAGGTCCCAACTCTCCTGTTGGTATACCTAGATAAGGCCTTATCCAATTTATGTCTCCCAATAACTTTTGAAAGTCGTTAAGTGATTTGAGTTGATCTACTCGTATTTGAATTTTTGGTGGACGGAGCATGGTTGAGGATAATAGAACTCCTAAATAATTAATTGGAAAATTTAATTGTACTTTATCTATTGCTATCTCTAGATTATAATTTTTTAATAAGTTTGTAAGTGTGGCATAACATTCCAGCAATATGTTTTTATCTTTATGTGCCAATAATACATCATCCATATAGTGAAATATTTGTAGTTCAGGATTTTGATTTCTAAGTGGCTGGATTGCTTTGTTAACATAAATTTGACACATAGTTGGACTGTTAGCCATCCCTTGAGGGAGTACTTTCCATTCATATCTCTGATCAGGACCTTCATGATTTAATGCAGGGATAGTAAATGCAAAACGTGGACTATCCTCGGGATGAATTGGAATTGAAAAAAAACAATCTTTAATATCTATAGCTAAAACATGCCAAGTTTTTGACAAAGCAGACAATTGAGGAATCCCTGATTGAGCAGGTCCCATAATAACCATCTCATTATTAATGGCTCTTAAATCTTGCAATAATCTCCATTTACCAGATTTCTTTTTGATGACAAAAATGGGAGTATTATGGGGAGATACGGAAGGTTGTATATGTCCTTCCGCTAATTGTTGTTTGACCAGATCATGGGCTACTTGTATCTTTTCTTTAGTCAGGGGCCACTGAGGAACCCACACTGGTCTTTCTGATTTCCAAGTAATTTTGATTGTCTCGGTGGCCCTTTCTGAAAATCCAACCCATGTCTGTCTGTTCCTTGATCTATTTGTATTGGTGCTGCTATACCTTGCCCTTGTTTTCCTAATCTTTTTTCTTTCCTAAAGCCTTGTCTAGCCCTAGTAGTGGGCGCATTAGGATTGATGCTATTTGTTAACGTCAAACCTAATTGATCTAGGACATCTCGTCCCCGTAAATTTATAGGAAGATGATCCAATACATATGGCTGTATAGTTCCTTCACATCCTTCAGGATCCTTCCAATCTAATATCATAGAACTTCTATGGGGATTAGTCGCCACTCCTAGGCCTCGAAGCGTTTGAGTGGCTTGTTGTAATGGCCAATGTTTTGGCCATTCTTGACGAGAGATGATGCTAAGGTCTGCA